TTCTGGTTAATGGGAAGGCTATGACTCCAGTCATAACACCTATGAACCGGAAGATTCCCTGCGTCAGTCCGTTCCCTTGGCCGAAGCTATTGACGACTATGAACGACGGTTGGCGGCAAAGTCCGGGCAACCTACACCAAAAAGGAAAGTGGTCCTGACCACCCCTCCTTCGGTAGCACCCCGGAACAGCACCCCAGAACAACCGAAACGGAAAGCACCTGCTCGCAAGAAAAGGTGACGCTCCCGGGACGGTTCGCTTCTGAGGGGGAGGGATGTAGCAAGCTACATTTACCTTAGAATATCTTTAAGCTATTAAAGCTTAATCACAGTAACGGTACGGTCCCGTATTTACGAACCATACTCGTTAACTGTACGAACTCACTTTCTGGTACGCTATCACAACCTAGCGTACGACACCAAGACTCCAGGAATGGAGATGGCGGCAGGTGGGCCGCATTTAAGCCACCCAGGTGAAGTGCTTCGGCCAGACACTTAACGTATCACTATACTAGTGTTCAGGGTTCAAGACCTTGCTGTCACCGTTCTCGACGTATGTCTTCGAATCCCGACTTCCCTTGTCTCTTCTCACGCCTAACGCTGGGTCGCCAATCGTGGACGAGACCCTCTGCTTCCGCTAAAACAGCTAAGGTAAGAGACGGCTGTTACACCCTCCATCGGTGATCTTCGAACTCCATGTTCAGCTCCCAGGGGTCGAACATATTGTGGTTGTAGTTGACTACCACGGAACAGATGGCGACAGGTCCACTCACATGCTGCAGGTACACATTGAAATGTCCTTGCTGGGACTCAGGTCCGTGTGCACCTGAGTGTGTGAACCACACACGCAGGCGGGTCATGTTGTCGCCACCACCACCGCCACCACCACAGCCACCACCACCACCACCACAGCCGCCGCCACGGTAAACAAGCCTAGTGTACACTCTGGGGTTCAGCATGACACCGCTGCTCGACAGCAGAGACCTGGGGGTGCCCGAGCCACGAGGCCGCACATTGTCCAGAAAGGCGCCATATACATTGCCGGATGGCCAGTACCTGAAGACATACACACGATTGACCTCAGCAATGCCGATGTGAGTGCTGCCCAGCCACACGACCTGTGTGAAATGCCCGGTTCTGGTGCTGAAACCCGTGTTGTTGTAGTTGTAGAGCTCAATCTTGCTGTAGAAGCTGTCCACGGCCGCCTCAGCCGAGGTGTGTCCCGCTGCCAAGTGGCCTCACTGGTTGCGGGCATGCTGGAGGCCCCACCAGCATGGTAATTGTTAGCGGCGACCACAGCATACACAGCGGCGTCGCGGGCCAGGTCTGGAGACCACGTCAGCCTTGGCGCTCCGTGGAGTGCCCTGTAGTAGTTGTGCCTGTCGACTAGTTTCCAGGGTGCAGTACTGCACCCTGGAAGTGGCCCGCCATGGTGCGAGGAGGGCCCCTGTAAATGTTTTGGCCGCCTATAGGCCGGGGTCTCCTCTAATAGGTAGTGATCCGGAATATATGGCGTATAGATGATTTGGCTATATAGTATACCTCTGCACGCCCGCGGACACCTGGCCCAGACGAGGTGCCGCCCTGGAGCGATGCTAACCGATTCCAGCACAACCATCTTTTTCTCTTAAACACCAGCAATTTGGTAGGGTTGGCGAACGTGAAGAAACTCGACCCGAACAAAGTCGAGTTTGTCATGTCAACGGTATAGCATTCCTTCAAGCCACAAAGAACACAGTAGTTCAAATAGTAATAATAGTAATGCGCTTACGATAGGAAGAAATATTTGCTTCGGAGGAGGGTAGGATCCGGGCTGGAATTAGGGAGGAGCTCTGTCGCAGAATTAGCCTGGATTTTATTCCTGACAAAAGAATTGGTCTGCCGAGGTCTGGAATTGTTCTGGCGGACTCGCCGGAGGTATTCGAATTGCGCTGTGGAGCCTCGGAATTGGGCTGTGCTGGGCCTGAATTGGCCTGTCCGGGTGCCGAATAAGCCTAACAGGGTATTGAATTAGCCTGACAGGGTATCGAATTGACCTGTTCGGGGTGTCAAATTGGCCTGACAGGGTATCGAATTAGCGTGTTCAGGGTGTCGAATTGGCTGTCAAGTTGGCAGGATTGGCTCGGGCTGGCATCCAAAAGCACATGACTTTTAAGGAATTTACAGAAAACTTTGCAAGAGGACCGCTTACAAGTGCCTCATGTGCGTATTAGTTTCGATCCCACGACATGGAGTGGGAAAACTTGCACACCTGGTTACCGTACTCTGGCACTACTACTACTACGGGAGGCAAGCACTCAGGGCCACGACTGCATTACCCAGTCAAGTCAGCCGCCGAGGTCCCACTGTTTTCCCACCACACTTCATCGGCAGTTCGTCCAGTTTATCCCACAACACTCGTATGCATGAATAGGTTCGGGTGGAAACAATGACAAATCTCTGATACACCGCTTAACTCAGTACCACGAGCTACATTGAAAACAAATGAAAATGCAGATGTCTGCCGAGAAGAATATGTTCACCATATGCAATCTATGCCTTAATCCATCGAGCTCTCCGTTGGGCGGGGCATGGCCCATGAAGTCGCCCCCGGTATTCCGCCCATGCAACCAAACACTGACACAAAACGTTGCACGCCTGGGCCCATGTAAACCACGACACTTCCGTGTGGATTACCCGTGCTCCCCATGTCAGGGGTCCTCCCTCCTGCTGTTGACTCCCGGATTGCCCACGCACAAACGCCAAACGTTGGCGCAGAAAACAGACAGGCCATTAATTATTGTAGTATGGCATCAAACCACGCATAACCCACAGCGGCTTTCAGCAGCAGTACTGCTTGGTGAATGCGACCGGCCGTGTACTGCCAGTCTTAGCACCGATGAACCACCCCCTGATGCCGCCGCTGATGCAGCAGGCATATGGGTCTACACCGCCGAGCTCTGACCAGTTTGTTTTGAACTCGCCTACACAGGGTTGTAAAACAAGGGGGGCATTTCTGTTGTCATATGGTATGATGTTTCATAGACGTCGGTATGTATAACATTATACAATTGGGTGGGTGGGGTGAGGTGGGTTCCTCCTTTCTAGGTTGCCCACTCTTCCCTGCCACACATCTCACGTCGCCACTTACCAGTAGCACCACGCGACTTGACGCGGGGTGGCACATCCTCTGCTTCGGTGATGGCGGCTGGTGCACTCATCGGGACCACAGTTCCGCCGCATCCTCAATGGTGCCAGTCTCCGCGTCCCTGTGTCCCTGATCCTCCACGGCCCCCTCTGATGCTGTTTTGATCTTGAACAAGAGGGATTTCGCGTCCGAGACGGTAAGGTCCGGTACATTCCCTCTCAGTGCCATGGCGGCGTGAAGCGGGGAGAGCTGGAATCCTCTGCAATGAAGGACACATTGTCTTTCAAAACACCGTTCACAAAGTTTCCGGTTGTTCTCAGCACGGGGACATCACCGCCCCACGTCTCTGGCACGGACTCACGCTTTTCTCTCTGTGATCAATCTCTCACCTCGGAACAGTTCCCATGCTTCACCAACGGAGTAGACGCCGAGATCTTCTTCGAATTGACGACGCACAGCATCCACCCGTTCATCATCCCCGTCCAGCACATCATGGAGACACGTCGCGAGAGCCACGACATCAGACTATAGACGCAGCAGAGAATTAAATAAACCCCGAGTGAAGGCGAATGGCTGCAAGTGCACCATGGCGCATTTGCATGGTTGGAAGCCACAAAGCATGAAAAGACATACCGCGTCATTTGGACTTCGTGCACCTTATGTGTAAATGCAGAGATAAGAGGAGAGACTTAGTTATAGTTTGGGGTTATTGGGTTTTCAACTTGCTTGTATTGAAACCTCAAATATGCATACCATGAAAGATACATGCCTGCATACATCATACCTGCAGCTGAAGACCTTACTAACCATGACATATGTGCATGCCTTGCCAGCAGATGCTTTGAGATTCAACTCCTTTGGAGCTGACGAAGCCCAATGGCATACTCCAGGCCGGTTCCGGCCCGGTTCCGACCTAACGGGTCCAGTTAACGAGATGGGTAACCGGTCGGTAGGATTACCGGGCGAACCGTTATCCGTTAACCGTCCCCAGTAATCGGTAACCGATGTCGGTAACCTGGCATGAGCAAAAATGCATTTCTGATTGCAACCAGTTTCTTTGTGACAATGCCCATTGTCACAAGGTTCATGCCCACGTGTCACACCCCGACAAGCTTGAGGAGGTTAAGGCAATGTGAATGCCGGGTGACAGTCTTGTGCAGGCACATTTGGAGACTAGTTTACACTGAGATTGGGGTGATGTTGGATTAGAATACTTGCAGTTCATGAAATTGAGGAAATGTGTTGCATAGGCATATCCAAACGTTTCAGAGGGACGTTGTTTCGCCCGTAACAAACTTGTTACGGGCGAAACAAACTGCATTTCCACATTCCCACCACTCAAAGAGCTCCCCACACCATCGCAAAGTCCCTTTTTTATTACAGACACATGTAACAAGTTGTCATAGCTTGAGATTGTCGATATATGACTGCTGGATTGTGACGAGGCCATCTCCTTACATGTCTTGCTGCACCAGCATGAGCAGTGATCCCTTCTGTTCAAAATTTCAGGCAACATCGCAATGAGGCAAAACATTGTGCCGAATCTGCCGTACAAAGAGTGTTCAAAGCTTCACGCTACTAACGGACGAATACATAAGCACTCATTTACCTTAAATTATAAAGGAATTCTATAGCTTCATACAAATTCGCCTATTAGCAACTCTCCCTGGTCGTTCAAAAGTTGCTTGAAGATTCTACCATCTCCATACTATGAAGGAGCGCTTCTTCATTTCTTCATTTTATCTGAACCTTAACGTATCCTTCCAACACAATGTCCATGGACAACGGTAATGAGGTCGGCGCCTACGAGTTTGACCGGAACGCCCTGGACAACATCGCCCGTCGGCGACAAGATCGCCCACGCAAGAAATACAGCCAGCATCAATGGGACAATGACTTATTAGGGACAATGACATGGCATTTCACGCCCTCAAAGCGGGAACAAACGCTAAAACTAAATACATACATAGTTCTAAATCTTCTACTAAAATTTTCCTGCAGCGCTAGAGGCCTTTAATTAATATTGGCGAACGATGCTTCCCGAGCTACCGGGATACTCCCTATGGCATAAACATGCCGGTTACCGACCGTTTGGGGCCCATTAACCCAACCGACCATTAACCCAACTGATCGTTAACCCAACTGGCCGTTAACCCAACCGACCGTTAACCCAACCGGGCCGTTAACGCCATTCAACCGGCCGGTTGGGTTAATGGGCCCCAAACGGTCGGTAA